AGGACGTATAAATGGTAAAGCCCGAAAACTGATTAACCACCCCTCTTAGCCGCTTTCGTTTTTTCTGTTTAACGTGGAAAGGAAAAACAATTCCACGGACCGGTACAGTGCATAAAATCAGCACTTGCCGGTAAAAAATGAGTATATCGGGTGAGATTATCAAAAGGAACAGAAAGATTGCTTTTCGAGATAGAAAACAAAAATGATTACATGCCAACTGGCTGAATTTAAATAAATTGGCGAGAATTATTCAGCAAAACATTTGCATGAATTCAGAGTGCAAATTCTGCGATATTCCAGTCACGCAAGAAATCCGATCACATAGCCTCCATTCTCACCAAACACGAAAAGTTATCAGAACAAATATAGAGCTTTATTCACACAGTTTGTGGGATAAGCACAAAAATGTTCTCCACTTAGCAGATTCAGGTAGCGAGGAAACGCCTAAATAGTTGTGATAGGAATCTGGTTTCAATCAAATAGAACGAAATATATTACAATAGATTTTGGATATTAAATTTTAGAAAAAAGTCGACACAAAAAATGTTGATTGCATCACTCTGTATCCTGTATCTAAATATCCTTTACGGACTCAAAAAAGGCAAGTGAAACGGCAATGAATGGTTTCATCACATTGAATTTGAAGCAGAAACAACAATCTGAGGTTGGGTGGATTGGAAGATAAAAGTGAGATCACCTGAGAAATAACAAGTTAAATCTCGATGAAAACTTAAAGATAATCTGAATAGGTGAAAAAGGACTCAATGGTACCATATTCACATGCTGATAGGAAGTTACATTAACGCTTTTTTGCCTGAAGAACTGGAGTGAATCAATAGCACCTTGGCGCAAAGTCCAGCGCTTTAGGGAGGAAAACTGAGAGGAAAAACGCAAAGCTAAGTGACAGCCTACCAATAAAAACAAGCACTACAACTACAGGAGTGAAAATACATTAGGGACATATTTAAGTAAATAGAAAAAGGAAACACCCTTCCAGTTAGGTTAGCAGCAAGAACAATGTTACCGTCGCACCTAAACAACCTTCCAAAAATGACGGAAAGTAGAGAATCAAGAAAGTGTTTGAAAATCACAGGAAACCTGGGAATAAGTGAGAGAATAAAAATGCTGAACGTACAGTCAGGTTTGCTCAGAATCGCAATTGCAATCTCCAACTGGAGATGGAAAGCACCATCGGCAATCAGACACGAAGAGGGACCATTTGATAGCATTGGCCTGCTCACTGAGGTGTCCACAATAACCTCCTTGTCTGACTGGACGTAAGGTCTCGGACTGAAGTTGATTAGAGCTTCTTTAACAAGAGAGGACGCCGTTGCTGACGTGCTTACTGAGGGGAGTTGAATGTCCATTTGCTTACAGAGCAGGCGAGCAAAGGACCACACGAAGTCAATGTGCCTGTATTTCGAGAGATTAAGCAATAAATTTAACAGAACAACTTTGCCATAATGCGCCTGAGCCATCACTCTTTCACTACAATGTCAGTTAAAAACGAAAGATGGTAAAAGGCAACGGTAACAACTGAATTCTAGAATACGCCCTAAGGGTTATGAAAATAAAGTTGATATAAAATTTAAAGATGAAGAAGTGGATGGGAGCTATGAAAATTAAACTAGTTTACATTTTCCCTACAAGGAAAACTAAAGTTAAGTAAAGTTTAAAATTTAAAACTACAAAAAGACACAACCCTAGTGCTACTTCGAAGCAACAAAGTGGCTATTATTAATAAAAGAGCTAAACAGATTTCCGCATTTATTCGGCAAATCAGTGAACATCTTGACAAGAGCAAGCCGAGTAACAGGAACAAGTAATCAAAGCAGGCTATCGAGTAGTTCTACCAGGTCAAGTTTTAAGTAGATGCTACTTGGATAGATGTGCAATACGATGTAAATTGGCCAGACCCTTCACTTGCTTAGCTGAGTTCTGAAATCAACCTATACTATGGAAATCAGTCATAAGCAAAGCTAAAAAAGTTCCTCCTCACATGAACATAAAACCGTACTTTGCCAGTAAAATTTTTATCGTTTTACAATACTTTTGGATATTTAGAAAGCACAACTGCCTGCTTCCAATAACAACCCGGAGAATTCTGGCACAACTGAAGCGGCGAAGTAAAAGCTGTGGGGTGGCGTCTTCAACACTTAAAGCGCGCAACCGAAAAAGGGAGGCTTAGGTAGAGAAATAGTACGAAGCAATGACTGTTAACACTACTTCTCTCCTCCTACCTCCCTCAAACAGAGGAATGAATGTGTTGATGAAATTGCAATAAAAACGGGACGTGCCAACAATGAGGCTATATGACAATGTGCTTCTATCAGGCAAGGGTTTTTTATCTATTAGCCTTGCTCATCGCTGACTGGTAATTTTTTTTCATTGTGTCAGCAAAACTGGCCTAGTTGTAATCACCATGTCGCACAGTCAATCCATAAAGAACTAGTCTAAAATGAATAAAGCATGTGCCAAGCAAAAAATAATGGATTAGATTAATTCCTCCACCCCAACCACTGTCAAAAGGAAAATAGAGGGAGAAAGAAGCACTTGTGGGGACGAACACCCGTCATTTTCTGCCTATCAGCCCCTTAACTAGTGATGAGAGAAATGAGACATGAAGATCCTTCTCGACAACTGTCGAGCACAAAAAAGGAAACAACCCTAGATGTTGAACTACAGCAAGACCCTGTGACTTCCTACAATAGAATGATTGGCGTAATGTGATTATCAGTAAAGTATGAAGTCTGCAAAATGCTAATTGTTAACTCAGCACAGATACTATACTAATGCAGGTGATATGAATGCTCAGAGCAAAATGCCAAGGAGCAATATCCATCTAAGAACGACAGAATACTCTGACAGATATACTGCTAGTCAGCAGTACTTACAGCTTATTCGACACGTCGAAGGTAAGCGGTCGAGGCTTGCGACGTGGTAACTGCCAAAAGGGCTCTAAAACAAAGTGGTGCACACGATCGATTTAGTAGAGGATCATTTGTGTGATGCCAAAAGAGGATTTGCGTACCCCCACCATCGAGCACCTTGTCCGCTGGAAACTTGTAAAGCAAATGCAAAGCCTGTAAGTGACGAAAAGAAAGCAAACATTCAGTGAGAGCAGTTCGTGAAGAAATGGGGGATGGGTGGTCGTCCCAGAGACAAACCTTATGCGCAAAATATTTTTCAAACTTCTCGCGTGCCAAACAAACACACTCCCTCCACGTTCGAGGTCGGTTGTTGAAAAATGCCAATTGAGGCGTGTTGAGGTTTTGAAGGAGAATATTTCTTTGAGTAGTGTCATTGGACCAACAATCAGGAGGGACCTGTGTCAGCATTTGCTGAAGTGCATCGCGTAGTTCTTTGCGAGAATACCTGAAAGCGCTAAAAAGCCGATCCAGCACCTGTGGTTTCAGGGTGAACTGTGTAAAAAACTAAAAAAGAGGAAAACAAATGAAGCAAAATGAAACTGAGGATGGACAAAATTAAAAGAGTTACAGAGGCAGTGAACTTGAAGGAACCCAATCGACCTACTTCAAAAACTAGGGTTGAACAAAGGTTACTGGTTGGAGAGGAACAATCTCAAAAACGGTGCCACAAGGACCAGAGTCCGCAAAACGGAGACCTGAAAAAGTGACCCTGTACCATAAGCCATAATTCTACAGCACAGTGCCGCAAAATTACATTCATTACATTACATTCAGCATTAACGAAGCACCAGAACGGCCATCAGGACGTGTCTGGTAGAATGTGTATCAATCAAATAATTATATTAAGCGCCATTGTAGATACTCAAGTGCGACTTCGATTTCTTACTGCAGTCATCAAAGCGTTATTGATCATGATCATCCTAGTGCCGACGTCAGTGATGTTCGTTAGTTAACCCTAAGACCTGTCATGCACGATCCAAGTGTCAACTGACTTTCAAAGTACGAAAAAGTGCATTTTAAAGTACACAAACCCCAAAAAAGCCACAATACGCAGAAAGAAATGCATAGTTTGCGCGCTATCGTAAAAAATAACCAAAACCACATTCAACTCAGAACGTGGTAGCGCCAAGGTCGGAGTAGACCTTAATATTTACTAACAAATTTCTTTGCAGAAACATGACTCATGATCACACTCAGTGCGTGAGAGACAAGTTCATTTGCGGAATGACAAACTACACAGCTAAATATGAAAGTACAACTCACCTTTTCCCTTGCCCATTCAACACAATCTGACACTTTAGCGGGAAAAGACTTCAATGTGCAGTATGGTACAACATCGCTGGTCCCTTCCTCCTCCGCAAGATCCTTCTGACTTGAGTATGACTCGGTAATCCCAGGGAGTATCACCTGGGTGTGACCCTTTGTGCCCTGTGTACCCGAGTCAAACATCACCAGTCGGTTGGCTACACAGCGAGTGTCCAGATAACGTCTCCCTTTAACATTATCCAATGCTGACAGTACTATCGGGGGGCCGGATTTGTCCTTTCCTGATGCTGCTTTCTGCAGAAAGTCGTCGGTAAAGACTTCCTTCTCAGTGTCAGAATCCACTAAAAGAAAAATAATGGTTTTCAAACTGCAGATTACTAAAGCTACTGACTAAATGTGAGGAGGTGTGCGTGTACATTTTTCTTGCAGAGCAACAACTCTAAGCGCGGGGTTAATTTGTCGGATGGATTCGGCAGCGACGGTGCTTTTAGCCTGACCAACGTGCTCCGATTGGAACAGGAACTGCCGATTCAGATTTGACTTCTCGATGTGATCCATATCAGTTATGGTGATGCAAAACGCGTCGCAGGTGATTGCATTAGTGTTAGCATCCGTGTTGGTGACAACAGTGGTAGTGATGGTCGGTTGAGGGCAGGAGAAAGTCTGCTGTGCCACAGACTCCACATCAGCATCGTAATCACTTTGGGAGCTCACCTTGAATGCGGAAAATTAACTCAATCATGACCAGTAATGAAGGTAGACTGAGAACGTGGATTCGCGGGACACTGGAACGAAACCAAGATGCACTGCTGTGGTCATACCATAGCAGTGGCTGATAAGCGCGTCCTATCTCTATTAGCCAGCGAGTGTGCTGTCGAATGGACCACGAAATGAGTGAAATTTTAGCAAAAGAAGGGGTCGTATGAAGCAGTAATCAAGGAAGCTTCATTTGGTCCGGTAAACATTTTTGTGCCAAAGCATTATGGATGTGAGGCAAAAAAGCTCGGAAAAAGTGAACGAGAAAGGAGGCATGAAAGTAAAATAGTCGCAGTCAATGAACTTAAAAGCCCTATATCAATTTGAACACCTATTGTGCGATTAGGTACGGCTTCAACTGATACAACGCTTAAACAAACCATCAATTTCATAAACGGGATATTCACAAAACAGAATTAAATGGAACAAAATAAACGGTTTCTTTGATTCAGAAATGAAAAGAGTCTCATAAACCAAATGAGTCCACATACTTACCCGCGTTATCATAGGCAACCTCAAGAGTTCTATAAAGAAGAACAAATTTCGTTTTTCAAAAATTTCATCGAAAACAGTAATACATCAGAAGTAGGAAAAAAAATTGGAGTGGGATTTGTTTTGAATGTGATACAAATAACCTAAGGACTATAAAGAGCATAAAGTCTGCCTCATCAACCCTCGCTACTTGGCGGCCACCTCATGGATATCAAAGGTTATGGCAAAGACCTCAAACAGCAACAGCAGTCCATGCGTCCCCGTTAAGCAAACTTCTCGACAGGAGACTGGCACAGGGAAAATAGTACAATCATTCGCGTTATAAACGAAATGAATCTCTCTATATAGCCACCTTAGCGGATAACATAATACTCATAGCGCTACTAGTAAACAAAACGTTACTGTCACCGTATCATGATTTCGTGCAATTTATTGAAAACTGTCAGAAGATTCATGGCTAATGGAGCGGGGGATTAATCACAACTGACACCAAAAAAGGAGCCCAAAACAAGAGTGGTCATTTGGAATAATTTTGGTTATTTTCATTGTATATTTCACTATGACTCCTAATTCCCTGCAATTTAGTGCCCAGGATGGAGGCTGAAAAATGCTCACATAACCAATAATTGAAACCCCTGAAGCACTTTCCGAGGCACCAAAAAAACTGAAATCAAGACCAAGAATGCAAACTAGGCATTCACCTTAATTGTAGCATTTATGACCCTTTTCCATTTGGCATCGGCACAAATAACAAGCTCCAGCCAAATCACTAATGCAGTTATTTTTTTCAGCTCTCCTGAATAACTTGAACAAACCTCACACGCAACGCATAAATTTCACAACAATCGAAATCGAATTAAAGGAACACCTATAGCGACTTACCTCGCTCATCAATTCGATACAAACTAGCAGATGAACTAGAGGCGGGCGAACCGAGAGGAACAATGTTTTCATCCTCCAACAGCTCAGTCGCCGATTCGCCCTGTGGTCCAGCGACAGCAGTCACCGTTCCCGTCGACATGTCCGTTAGTAGAGCCGTCATCGTGCCACGAGTTGCAGAGGGCGAATGTGGGTCGAGGTGATCATCCAATGAAGCCCTTGGTGTCGAGTCAAGGTTGCTGTCGGCCACTGGAACGGTGTCACCGTGATCCAGTTGATATGGGCGTATGGTACCCAGTTCCATCCCCAGATGACTCAACTCAATAACCATATGGTGGAAATCGCGAATGATCAGAGGCACCAGTTCTTCATTGTCACCATCGTCCACAATCTCAGAAGATATAGCGGAGGTTTCGTCGTCGAAAGAGGGAGAGATAGTGGAATTTGACAGATTGCTGGTGAGTTCTGTGATAGCAGCTAGAGGAGCACCAGTGGCGAGACCCAGGAGAGCTAGGTTTTTCAGCAATTCACAGCCAATCGCACCACACCCAACCTTGAGGATGTCAAAAGTCGATTTCAATGAGTAAGTCGGGAATTTTCAATAATAGAGACTAAAGCTGGGATGCGCAAAAGGCCGCAAAAAGGGTCAATAAGATGGATGGCTAGAATTAAAGTTTAAAATAAAAAAATCTAAAACTACCATGAAAGCGCTAGCTGTTGTGACTTTCCGCATGTTTTGCGGTCCAATGCATCTGAGTAGAGGAACATAGCGAGGGCTGAAAGATAAGACGCATATTAAAGTCAATTGCTAGCTTAATGGTAAAGAGTGAAGCACAAGTGATGTTAAAAAGACCTACAAGATGATTGAGACTACAATTATTCTAAGCCACAATGGTAATCCAACGTTGGCCAATGGAGACACGATAGTTGTCAAGCTTCATGAAACCGCATAACTATGCAAGCGTACCGACTCACACAAAAATAGGAGAAAAAATTGTTCCAGATAGGCGCATGATCTCCAACGTCTAGTTTTCCACAGTGGTAGTATGCACAGAAATGCATCCCTACGGTGGATCTAGCAAATAGGTAGTGAAGCAGTCACGTTGGTCTCTCCAGACACAAGTAATTTGGATCCGTTCAAGATATCCAAACTACTGCTCGGCCAGGCCCTTGTACGTAAAAACTAAAACCAGCTCCAGATAGGAACTTTATGACACAAACATGAGAGAAATCGTGTGAAATGCCTCTATGCCGTAAGATTCTGGGAAATACTTGCCGTAGATAATCTTTTTGCTCAGCTGCTACGAAATACCATGACTTTAGAACAATAAACGGAACACAAGCAAGCCAATCTACACCAACTTACTCTATAGAAATTTCTGGGTTTCCCGGAACTTCCGAAGGTATCAAGGAGTCAGCACCAAAATACATCTGCGAAAGCAGTAGTAGATCAGCTCCTGATGCATAGAGGAGAGAGTTAGCGAAATAATCGGTCGAACGTACCCACTGGTTGAGGGGCGTAAATCGATGAGTTACTGCTTTGATGACCTCTTGAGCAGCCACACCACCGAAAAACGAGCAAAGGGGAGGCAGTTGACCACGAGAGGTAAAGCATATTCTTGCCAGGAGATCATTGTTAATCTCGAAGAGGAAGGATTAAATTACGTACACAGAAAGAGAACGGAAGCGAGGGTTATGGCATCGAGCATAGAGTAATGGATGAAGCAAAGCACCATGTAATAGCGGTCAGAACAAGGATTATTGTTTTGCATGAATTTCCATGTTTCACAAAGGTTTCACTCGCTTTTCTTTATAATGTGTAAAACTAACATATCTGCTGCAGATGACAAAATTCATAACTGGTGGTAAAAAAGCCAATGAAGCTGTGTTGATTTCATAGCCAGCGAAAAGAAGTGGAAACGGTATAAATTTTGGAGATGATGTCACATATATCATTAAAGAACAATTATATCTGCAAAGCACAGTTGACAACTGAAGTATGTTCCTGACGGAAAACTGCCCAAGTTAACAGTAATGCCCAAATAAAGCCTTCAACAACAGGGTTTAAGTAGCAGGGTATAAGATGTACATGGGTCTCACGATTTCAAGAGATGCATCGACAATATGAGATTAGAAGTTACACAGCGATGCGATTTCCTCACGTTATCGTTCCACTGTCGCAGCTACCAAAGCAGAAGACTGACTGTAGACGCCAAAACGACCACTCAAGACAACACGATCGCAAAGCGAAATGCGACTCAGCTTGGTTATTAAAGGTCAAAACGACACAATTTGGACACCGTGGTTACAGCATCGAACTATGGTCATACTATCTTGGCAACTGGCCTACTATCGACAAAAGCTACATCTCGCAAGGGCTTCAAAAATGCCTAAGATGCTGTAGAACACAAATAAAGGGTGCTGAAAATCTCACTGAGATCTAGTGGATGGTGCCATGATGAAGACTAACGATGTAGAAAGCGACATATTTACCTTCACTTTGGGGACGCAAAATCGTTCGGCCAATTTCAAAAACTGTGCTGCATCTTTTCTGGACCTAGGATAAGACACCGAGTCGTTTGATTGCATTCAAGATAGCAAGGACACAACAACAAGAACGGTTTGTGTCAGCAACTCCCTCACCGACAAAACTACAAGCCAGTATCGACGTACCAAGGTTTAGGAAACTGTTTCTTAATGTAGATAAACGCCATGAGTGCCAAAAAAGCCACATGCATCTGAGCAGCCGACTAGAAATGTTTGAAAAGATGCAAATCTTTATATTGAACTCTCGATGAAAGGAATTCAGCGCACCACTTACATCAGGGTTGACAAGATCGACTATGGAGAGCTTAGGATCTTCAAGCTGTTTTGCAAGAGGAAGCTACAAGGGGAAAGTTCTTATGGACGCCTTTATTCCGGAAGTAGAAGTCCAGTACTATTAATCAAGAAATAATACACATACGTGGGTAATTTCAAGAGCTTGTTTTACTTCGATTGCCAGGCCGTTCCCGCTAAATTCTCCAAAATTGCGTGTGTCAACATTCAGTTCGAGTGCATGGGGAGACAGTCCTTTTAAATTGCATTTAAACGTAGTAAATTCCAATTACCCATCGCTTGAACAATTCTGCCATTTAATTCCACCATGCCGGTAACTTCATGAAAGGTTAAGAGACCGCCGTCAGGTAATTTATGCTGATCGGACCCCCTAATAACCAGTTTCGGCTTTTCTGCCTAAAATTTGAGCAAAAATTTTGTGACTACGTGTGCGCGATGGCTATTCGCGTAGCCCAACACATTAAAATCAGCCCTAACTACTTTGCTTTTCTATCAATCATATAGAAAACACGATTGTCAGTAGTATCGATGCCGGAATCAGGTGCAATCATTCGTTACGATCTGGGAAAAGCTACCACGAATGACGTCGTTAATTTGAGCACCGTTTACATAGCATTGTCTGTGTACGTACGTTTTCTATGTTCTCGATAAAAAATGTCGAAGGAGGCTCCTCATCCGGAGGGCTAAACTTGATGCACGGGCCGAAGTCGCAGAAAACGTTGCCAAAAACTCCAATTGTGTTCGCATAAACAAACTGGGAGTGGGGAGAGGAAACCAGTCCAAATATCGAGAAAATAATCTCACCTTAATATGATGTTGTCTACAATAGTTGTTGAGGAGAGCAGCAAAGAAGAGATGTATATCGGTAACGACCATGCACTATTGGTGAGACGATTATAGTAAAGACTTACATGTAGTTCATAATCTAGCAAGTTGTTTAATTCATGACCTATGTCAACGCTCGCAGCAGTTAGAGAATGAACCGCGATACTGACACGAACGTGGGGATTAAGAGAGGCCAGACGTTGCCGACTTGCTTGAGCCCTAAAATGCCATCGCAATCCAATTGAAAAGTATTCACCTTGTTCGACTTTTTGCAACATCCTCGGGGCGTATGTAAAACTGGCTGGCTAAGTCCTCAGCAGAACATATGGTAGAGTCATCAAGAATCAACTCTCCGACACCGGCAAGAACAAGGTTTTTAGCTACAGGAAAGAAAATTGGATGCAGGAAAGAAATTACACGGTACCGATTTCAATACCAACGCCACCCAGGCCGCATAGAAGAACGACTGAGTCAGAAAGACGCCGCATACCATCGTCCCCAATCACATAACGTTGGCGACTGAAAGGGCATACGTATTCGATAAATCCATTTTACCTATAAAAGCTATCGTCGATATCATTGTGCCCCCGTTCTAAAAGCCAGATTACCAAAGATTAACAATAAGGTAGAAGTATGAAAGGCGGTTTTCACGAAACAGCTAAGGGCATAGATAAAGCCTAACAATGTGCGAGGTGCAGTATTAAAACCAAGATGGTTGCTGACGACATGTATGCACGTAATTCATGTATGCATTAAACCAAACGTACCTTCTAACAAGGGAACCATTTCAAATTCGATGGATGAGGCCAGCGACCAATAATCTGTAAAGTATCTTGCTGCACAATGTGATATTAAAACAGCACATATAAACACTGTACAAATGTCTAATTCTGACTAAACTAGTTTTTCATATAAACTCAGGAACTGTGACGCTGCAGCTGCGCCTATGAGGTCCGACCCGGGGAAGAGGAACACACCCTCCAATTTGAATACACCTCCGATAATATCTGCCTTAAACTAAGGACAGTAAAACTTATCCCATCCCATACAAAGTTTACGAATTTCTCTGCACTGCTTCGACAATTATATGCAAAATGCAATGCTACCTAAATAAAACTGGGAAAAACCGAACAACACTACTTCAACATCGCGTGATATTTATCTTAAATTACTAGTCAACAAAAAACTTTGAGCCAATTCCAAAATAAGAGCCCGTAATATTTTAATAAAGTTGTCATTTCAATACAATATGTCGCCACGCTGTCCTGACATAATTATTTTATGTATCTTCTTCCCTAGTCCAAAACGCGCTTTGAATTTCGTGTTCTTCACCTATGCTTTGCGACATGAGTGGGATTTGCCTATTGCCGCCAGATTTTCCAGGCGTCATCGCTTATCTATCACATTGGCACGACTAGCATGAGTCACAATGTCTGTTGCACCACAGTATTTTTCGCATTTTGACGAAATAATGAGCATTATTGTGGGAAATAAGCATCTCAGCAGTTATCCCGCTTGTCATGCAACGCGGGTTGCCTCGAACACTGCTTTTTATCGAGCATGGTGGATGTCAGGGCTATGAGTTTATAGAATCCTCTCATTCATTAAGGACTACCCTAGCCCAACGTACACGAGTCGTATTTCCTTTTAATTAAAAATTTAAATCAGTGAGTCACAGAGGTAATAAATATAAACAAATAGTACAATTTTTGCGCTCCAGAATTAAGTAAACATACCGTCAGCAGTAGTTAGCGCTTTTAACCCATCCGTATTCCTAAGTAGAGGGAAGAGCGTGCTTACTAGACCGATGAGATTTTGAAGGCTACGTATGTAACCTGGAGGCCATATCACAAAACTAAAGTGCATCATTCGAAGAGTCGAACAAAATGGCAAATCGATGTATCACTGCAACTAGGTGTGGATTTGTCTACAACTTTGTATGCCCGTGTACACATGTGAAGAAATCGCTTTTATCCTCTTAATGACATTTGCTGTGCAAATATTTACTTCGCCACTACGAGACAAGGCTATGTCAAAACACCCATTTGATGTTCTTTGTCAACATTGCCACCAACTTAGTTTGGTTCTTCTATCGATTGAGACATTTTGGTGGTGCTACATTTTCGCAGATTAGAAGAAGATTCTTGTGTTCGATGACTAGAATGGCCCAGCAATCAGATGTTTTGTTAGCCTCTTGAACAGGCAGCAAAATTTTTCCTAAAAGGTCTTGATTTTCTTCATGAAACATGTATACTGGCACGTGATGATGCATTGCATAAAATTGGCAAAAACCTTTAGTATAGGAAACTCTTTTTGACAATCTATCAAATCAACTGTTCCCTCCTTCAATGCTTATCTGCATTGCCTTTGTACTGCATGATGACTCGAGTGTAACATTTATTCGGGAAGTGGTCAGGTAATAGGAACCTCGTGACGGGCCGGATCTTGCTCGTACTCGATTAGGCGCAAAGCAAGGTTAAGGCTGCAGTTAAGGAAAAGCTGAGTTCATTGCACTTTTAAGTCTTTACGCTCAGTTGTTTCACCTTGTTAACTACCCCTTATTGATAGATTGACTGATTTTCTGCCATAGGACAACAGGGAACCTCAATCTCACGAACGTCAAGATCCTCTTCGTTTCACAGCTAACGCATAGTTGGGTCTACCCTTGCATGAATGCCTAGCTTTACCGTATCTCATGGACCAAAGCTGTACCTCGCATTTCAACACCTACTCTCTTAGGTCCTCACGACGCGAGAGGTCGCGTCACAGGTTCAAGCGCTGACGCGATGGCATCAAAGTGAATGTGTGAAGGAACGTGCAACTCACATGATGACACTTTAGTACACGCAATGATAAAGCAGAGAGGTGTAATGCGTTGTTTGGCCATAGGGTTTTCGATTAATCTCGTTGAATAAAAATAATCAAAACTGTTATGGATAGGGGCGTAAGAATTCTTTGCAAAAATACGTACAAAGGTGTTCGTCCACATAAGTGAATATTTGCCTTTGTAACTGGTAGTTTCGACATAAACGATGTGATATTTTTAACGCTTGAATGCTATACGGCTGAACATGGTTGTGCACTTAAACATGGTCTGAAAAACATTTTACCACTTATCACTTTACCTTATGAGGAGCTATAAAACGTGCTACAAACACGAAACATTTTATCCTGCTAACGACCACTCCGTGCTGCCTTTCTTGCACTGCCGTGAACAGCAGGAGGATTTTGAAGACACCAGCTTAAATCATTTCCTGCGGTCAAGTGAAGAGTTATGAGAAAATATCAATCTAATGGACGTAGACATTGAATGCAAACAAATGCGGGTGCATCCGATGCATGAGTGCGATTTTACGGCCTGTTGGGGAAAAAGCTGGTGATATGTATTGATAATTTCCACTTTTTTGAGCCCGATGCTTGCATAAATTCATAATTTCATGCATTATTTGCAGAAAAGCAAAGACAAACGCTTAGTTTGTAGTTTGAGGTTAGTAATATCGTAATACGTTGAGTAGGTTCTGTGTGGGCGGTAAAATGCAAGAAGTGCAGCTCCTTAGGCGAAATGCGAGACGTTTAGGCGTGCTGTTGTTTTGGCAAAACTGGATAATTTCTTACTGACTGTGGATGAACTGTGATTGGAGAGAGGGTGGAGGATCAACTGCTGTAAAATGAGCGCTTAGAAGAATGTTGCCGACAATGCTCCACTTCAGCGTTGAAGGAGTAGACTAGGTTTGGTTAGCGAGATCTAGTTCAGGCAAAGCGTTTATGATTTCATTAACAGCATGGAAGAAGTGCTGCCATAGAAGAGCGATGTTGATGCCAATTATAATGTCAGATCTACAGCCCTATGGAACTTTTACTACAAAACTACATTAACGTTAATGTACTGCAAAAGGTTCTCAAAAGTATGAGGAGACCCACACTGGAGGTGGTACTTCTGAAATCCATAGTCACATTCAGTTCCTCTTTTAACTGAATCCAGGTTTTGGCAGCTTATAAGAGCAAAGCCATCAAAATTGCGTCCTAGTTCAGTGGTCTTGAAATGTCTAGGCCGAAATTAAAGGAGTCGTAATCTTCGCAAAAGAATTTAAGCATAAGTGCTGCAAGCGATGTGATTTATTATTTCGATATGAGATCTTGGTATCTCCGTCTTCGTGCTACTTTTAGTCTAACGCCTCTCAGAGTTGCATTTAGCCCGCGGATTTCGGTCGTTTTCAAACATCCTCACGCTTTTGCAGTGGTATGGCTTAATAACGCACTCCCATTACGTCTCCCCACTGTCAGGAGGACTAGCAGTGCCTTTAATCTTTTGCCATTGCTGTTTGCAAGTTACTGGACGGCTCATAATAGCACCGAGATACGAATAGAAGGGCAAAGGACTTCCTTGATTTCACCACTGTAAGGAACTTTCTAGATTATAGCAATTCGACTAGCTCCCTTGGACTCATACAAATACCCTCCTTTCTGGTTCGTGCTTCGTCTTTAGAGATGAAATAATGGCTTATCGTTAGCAATCTTATTAAAAATCGAGAGAACCTTTAATTTTTTGAATTCTCAAAATTCCAGATGCCGTAGGATATATACAAGAGCCCAACCGAATTATTAGTACCGCAGTGGCCTCGTTCAACATTTAATTCAGTCCTTGGTGGTGTAGACAATGAAATTGTCAATTCTGTGCAATCGTAGGTGCATAAATAATTAATTTTCGGAGGCCAAAATAGTCAGTTTTTCAGACATTTATGAGCTGTGGCGGAAGACCTTGAAATGAAGTGTCAAATGTAGTCAAAACCGTGTGAATTGAAAGCAGACAGCTAATTCTTACTTACGCAGGCATTTATTTGGCTAAATTTAGCAATAAAATGTGCCTAAAAATAGGCAAATAGGAGATGAGTTTAGAGACCGAGCTTTGCCTCATAAGTTGTTGCTAGACCGTAGTGACGGCAATGCTGGAAGTGGAGATGGAGGAGAGAGTCATCTTTTTCAACCCTCTGTGGATATCACAGACTCCGAAATATCAAATTTCCGCAGTTTGAATAACGTAGGACTACATTCCAATTTAATAGTGTTTACGTCAACAACTTCAGATTTATCATAAAATTGATGTAGATGCATTACAAATGCGGCTAAATCTCACTACGATGACCCACTTCGTCTTGCCATCTGCGTTGTCATGACACCCACCTGTTCTGCTAACCAGTGCATCAACTGTTGGAATCACGTAGGCGACTAGGATGTAGAGAAAAGTCGACTTTCTATGTGCGTTATCACTGAAGTGCCTGCCGAGGTCGTGGATTTAAGCAAAGTATCTGCAAGGAGAGTCGCCACTCCTATCTACTTAAGCATTCAAAATTGTCCACATGGCGTGGTTTAATCTTCTCTCTCTAAACGAATGTCTGTGTTTTTCAACTGCTAGCGGTGTTACCTGAGTTCTTGATGAACGATGTCTAGACCTGGATAGATGGGCTACGCGCGTCTCGTAGGGGCAACGGTGTTAGTGGTGGTAATGGTTCCCGCCACTCGCTACGCGTCAGTAGTGCTTGAATAACTTGTTATTCCCTTTTAAGAAGTGATTTTAAGAGCAAAATCCAGCCCTCCTACACCCTTAATTTAAAATAATCACTAATCAATCCAAGGATAAAATCCTTCTGTTAGGCGAACGCGCCGAATATGGGCCGAAGAGCAAACCCACGTCACAAAGTAGAAAACAATAGTAATGCTCCCTAACGCCAGTTTATTTGACAGTTGTCTTAATTACCAAGGCTCAAAATCATATCATTTACCCTGGCACAATGGAGATGGGCAAATAATACAAATTCAGTTGCATCTGCACTTAGGTAGGGAGAGAGGAAAAGAATGTAGTGATACACCACGTCACAAACTGACAACGAAAAGATAGAGCCCCTTCCCCTCCTCCTGTCCCTTAATTCAAAACCTTTTCAATAATTCACTTATCGTCTTTACCCTCTTAGCAAATTTTTACACATTGTTTCATTACTACTGACTCATTGAATTGATCCTAACCCCTTAGGCACCTCATTTTCTTTACGATATGTATGCTTGATCCTCATAACACTGAAAATAGCCTACAGCTCCAAGTGATCCGTCCAGCAAGAGAACATGGACCCCAAATTATTAAGTATTCTTCAAATTGAACAAATGGTGATTTGACTCTCGGGATAAATGTTGGGTCAACTAAGAATCCCTCCATTGCACTCCCGCCATGACAGCGCATATTCTCATGGAGGTCTTAGGGGACAACGAATATAGATTTGCTGAACTTTATTAGTCTTTTTCCAAGAACTCTTTGGAGCAGTACAAATGGTCCGCCACTACAAATGTACGTCACTTGTTCTTGACATAAAATGACCACAGACATAAGTTCCTTTTAATTACGAAAATCTCGACAGCACTGTTTTAAAGCAAGCATTTGATCAAAAGTCCGCAATGAACGTGGTGCCATGACGACGGCACTGTATGTTAAGTCCTGCACGTCTCATTCAACTGTATCTTTCAGAGATATTCCTCCAAATATTGAAAGACGACGCAAATCCGGGCCGGGGTATTCTTGACGTACCGAAGACAACTGCAATTACCTGTATCTGTGACCCCCTTGGTAGAGGTACAACTGCAGAGCCCCTAAATGACCTGTTGCAAAAACTGAGAGCTAAAAGGTAGCTAACTCGTTACACAACTTTCGTCAGGCGAGGACAGGCACAAGACATTTAAACATGTTTCAGCACTTGCTAATTCCAATCCGCGTGTGAATGCACGTTTGCTGTGCGGCAGATGGCTGATTAACCCACTCCTCGAGGTCACTCGACTCTGCAGTGGATGAACCCACGGGTAGCGCTAGTGATGATGTTGCATTTGGCGATTTGAAACAAGTAAAGTAAAAATAGGAACCGATACGTGTGGGACTTAGTCATCGGGAATGAAATGAAACACAAGTACCTCGCATTCACACGTCCACCCACTCCCCGATCTAAAACAGTGTCTCTGAAAACCACAACACAGCTAAAACTCCAATTTGACACCCTCAACTGCTGTAGAAGGACGTGCTATTCAAACATTAAAATAAATGAAGGGCAGAGGAGAGGGAACTCTTGTGCAGCGGGTATAGCACCTAACCTTCAAGCCCTCATAAAGAAGAATTTCAGTACGCCTCTATCCACATAATCTTAGGACTAACAGCATACGACACCTCCTGGAAACCTATGCAGCACATTGGCTATCTGATCAACTCTTCACTTTGATTCCACGGGCACAAAAAGCGACACGCCAATGGCCTCATTCCATCATCAAGTCAGTAATGTATAATCAAGCCTCGTATTATGATCCCTCATCTTTGAGCTGAGTTCACCTTATCAGAGAATCAGCAACACGGAAGACAAATGAGCTGCCGATTTCATACACACAAATCCTTCTAGTGCTTCACGATTGTGGAGTAAACCTAAGGGAGGAAGCATGATCCCTTTCACACTGTGCATCATGTCATTCCGAATTTAGATACTGGTGCGTACACCAACACACTCGTCTCGTGCATAGACACAAAGCATGTGTTTATGCCTTGCGCATTTTGCATCTGCGGGGTAAGCTAACACCGCCAAGCTTGCATGAGCTATTCAGATGGTAACCGCATTGGCGGCGTTGGTTCACAAGCGTACGCTGCCAATCGAACGTCTCGTCGCCTTGCATAAACAATGGCAAATGGATCCACCTTACTGGCTACACGTTCCCTCGGCAATAACGACATGCATTCCAACCAGCCACAAGAGCCGTCACGACAATCCGATGAAAAGGATTGAAAATCTCCCGACCCTTACTCAACTTCTGATTCATTTGATTCCTTCTGTCCCCAATGGTCTGATGATGATGGTGACAACCTGAGTATGAAGAGGTCATTTATTACAAATGTTTGAGTTGCCGGGTATTGGGACAGAAGGATTACGGAGCGCATCCAAGTGCTGATTTAACAATGGACAGATAATCCAAATGAAAGCAAGCAAAGCATAAACTGCTCAAATGCCGAGTTCTCGAGTACGTGGGTAATACCACCCGCATGGATCCTTGCAAATAATTTATGTATTCAGAACGCCTAACTTCCAATGTGATTTAATCGCACCGCTACCATCTCATAAATGACCCGTGATGACTGCTTGGAAAAGAAACCTCGAACTTCGACTGTTGGCTCTTCGGTGTTTTGTGAATTAAATACCATACCTATGATAAAATTGTACGAACAGTTTCTAATCCCATTCCCAAACTGTTCGTCAGTGATATTTGAATCTTCGGTATTGGTACCTACGCAATAATGAAGATCTACTCAAACCGCTGGTATTGTGGTAAGAGCCTATTAAGGCCTTACTACATCGTGCAGACGAGTAAGTGCACACACTGCAAATTTGTATTGAGCGATAGATGGGGCCTTTTGGCCCTTAAGCAGCCGACACGCAAGGCGCTGGCATACACCTCTTCAACTGGGTTCATGTTTACGCATACACCTGCGCATGCTTGACACACCCAAACGTAAATACACGCCCAGTAGTGAGGGCTACACGAAAAAAAAAAACAAACAGGGGTCCTTAAGTAATAAATATATCCTTGTGCAAACACCCACACAGAGTGGGAGCATTGGCATATTTATTGTTTGTAGCTTTAGCAGTAGTAAAATTATTCGGGAGCTAGCTCTGAGAAAAATAGTGGTGGCGGTGAGTGGTGGTAGTGGGATACGAGGAGAAAAGGCGATAAAAATTACACAAACGGAGAAGTGGAAAAAAAATAAAGGATGCATGTCCATGAGTGTGTGTGAATGCTTATGTACAAGAGAGACGGTGTGCATGTGGAGAGGGAGCTGACGGTGACAAGTTACATATAGCTCATACAGACGGACGCACACGCGATACGCATCTCAGCTGGGTGGAGGTAAGAAAGATGTCGGCGGATTGTTGTTGCTGTTTGTGGTACTAATGTTGTGGCTAGTACTACTGACACTGTTGTGATTAGTGTTTACTCCTGATGCGCTAATAGTACTGGGGGCCAGTAAACTGTAGTAGGTTTGCGCAGGCCTCAGCTATAAGAAATAAATACTGAGTGACACAATTACGCCGATCTCAATTGTGTACCACCCAACTGTGTTCGTTGTTTTCCAACCCCCTCGCACACATTGGTAATGAAACTCAACATACGTTGCTGTGATGAACACAACAGGTTTTGCTGGACTTCTAAATGAGATCTACAGTTGAATGATTCGCCAGATTCGCAACTTTAAAATAAAACCCAAGTACCATTGGCAAATACTCAAATCGCGCAGGTAGATGCAAGAATTACCGATTGTTCCCTTAAAATCAAAATCCGATGGACATCGTAACAGTAAAGGACGTAAAGAAAGGTCCTGACCAAGACGGAAACGCTCCTATCATCAACCTTATTTTCGTTTTCTTTGGCCAAACCTCTGCGAAAACCAATTGAGATACAAGGTAAATCAAGAAGCCCTTCAGCTGCGTTTCTAAACAGAATTTCTAAAGTATGATTCTCCCAATGAATGCAGCGAAATTTGAACAAGATGGCATAAATTGACGAATTCCGTTTCGACTTTCAATGCGCCTACAGTTACACCCCGTCCCGACAGGTACATGGGGGCAATAAGTGGAAAAGGACGAAAACCATATGGCATTACATCCCAATGAATTATTTTACGGCGAAACTTGCGAAGTTACCCACAGCTTTCTTATAGTATAACCCAAGCCTACCAGTGTCCAGGATACATAACAAAAACTCACTTGTGTTGGCTGCTGTTGAGGTTGGATAGGAGTTGGTTGATGTATTCTCTGAACATTACACACAGTACCAGCGGTATTATTATTTGGAAGAATTTCACGGTAGAGACCAGGTGGAATCGCGGGTACTTGTTGCTGTTGCTGATGCTCCTGGGACCGACTCGCGGGCAGGATGAGAGGTAGAACCGTGGGTGTTGTGGGGCCCGATACGGGTGGACAGGTAGTCGTGGCACACGTAGAACCAGAATGCCTTCGAATAACCTGTGGCTGCGGGGGTGTCTGCTTTGGTTGGATAGCAATGGGAGTCCGACATAAAATCGCGTGTGACTTGTCGGTACTGGGAATCAGGAGAAACTGCTGTTGTGTGACAGTTGCACGTGGGTTAATGGATTGAAGGAGAGCTAGCGTCTCAGTTAAGTTGTTACCATCAACAAAGAACGCCCTTGTAGTGGTAGTTCCTCCACCAACGCTACAAGCACTCGCTGGAACAGCGATTAATTGCTGTTGTGGTTGTTGAGCCACAGGCTGCTTCTGATGGACCGCCTGTTGCTGTTTTTGTGGAATTAACTGAGGCTGGGGATGGACATCCGGCAACTGATGATCAGGATCAGTCAAATCGTTCCCACCCTCATTGCTACTCACTGACGAGCCGGATCGTGACGGAGTAACAACGACACGAGCCTGCTTAAAGTTAGCGAGAATGGCAGGAAGAGGACCAGCTATTCCACCACCTGCACTGCCATGTTGAGGTGTGGCAGGAGCGGACACACTGTTCCCCGTCGGCTGAATTAAAACTGCCGGGGGTTGTATCACAGGCGCAGAGATTGGTGGAACAGACTCTTGTCCGGTAGTCTGGCAGCTATAGAGGTCACTGGAGAAGCTGGTTTCAGGATTGGGAGTGAGACTGCCAGTGGCAGGTGGTCCTAGAGCAGGTTCGTGCAGAGCAGGCGCAAGCGTTGGAGCGGGACGCTGCTGACAGGGCACTTTAGAGGGCAGAGATTGACAAGGGTGCTGCTGACTCATCATCAGGCGCTTTGCGCGTAACTTCTCCCTCACGCTGGCTAAAGTCTTCGTCTCTCGTGGAGGAGGCATGGTGGTGGGGTTGGTTACGGAGGTGGGTGTGGTACTATCGACCACAAGCGGTGGCCTGCTGCTTGAGGGAAAATCTGCACCAGTCTGGGAAGGCCGACGACTGGATGATGCGCCGATTGCGGATCGCCTGGGAGAACTCAACGAAAGATCGAGTGGCGGTTTAACACCCTGTAGTAAAAAAGAAGTATTTATTCTGTCAATTCACAGAGAATATTTGACATGATATGCACTTGGACAACATTGCGCACTGAGACTCGCACTCCAAGGAAATCGTAGCGTCGCAGACGTTTCACACTGAAAAAATGCCACATGAACAATAGACATAAGGTTAATATCAGTGGTACTGGTAGGGAGTTTAATTGGCTCTTCAAAAGAAGGGAATGCAAGCCAACCCATGGTCCGGCACCAATTGGACTTGCGAAAATTATTCATAAATCAGTTTGTATATGGCAAAAATATGTGCGTTATAGTAGCATATCCCTGATACCATAAGAATAATTTTTATACATAAGCATATCCAAGTGCAGAAGTGGCCAATGAATGGCAGTAAGCAGGATTTAACTAATGCCACGTCTATGGTTATTTGATCGTTACTAACGAACTAGAAACGGTGTTACTAATATTCATGCAAAAAAACCTAATGTAGAAAGTACGCTTCATATAGATGCCGTTTCAAGCAGTTGCCTCAAGACACAGGCGATTAAAAGGTATGAAATATGAGGGACACTCAACCCGTATGGCATAAAAACTGACGTATGCATTCAAAACATCAAAATGGAGAACTTTGCAAGAAAAGCTGCTATAGCAGATACCGATACAGATGAATGGAAATTCAAACATCTTCCCATCTAATCACAGGAAAAATCACTCAGACAAATCTGTGTATTGTGATGGAACGTGACCTAAGGAGTACATCTTGGCTAACAATGTTGTAAAAATGCAATGCAGCCTCCAAGTGCAAAGCAGTGCCTGGAACAGTGGTAAAGACAGTCTACATGAAAGAATTGAAATGCGACCCGGTTCACATCATCCGAGACCCACCCAAGAACATTATACTTGTTTACCGATGGAATAAGACCAAAATCACAAAATATACTCGAGTGTTGGCTAAGTTGTTTTACGCTTTAACATCGAAAGCAAGATAAAGAATTAATAAACCGCATGAAAACTATCTTCAACTAAATTACACCAATTTAGCATGCACCAAGGGTAAATGCTTCATTAATGAATTCAGAAACAGCTTTAAAACCTATACTTTACCATCACAAGAGTAATTTCGCGCACATATTTAGGAGGCCGACGTAAATTAGCAGGGTTAAAGCCAGCTTGACGGTGCATGGCAAACACTATCGCTAAGATCACGTCATGTTTATGGCTAATGTTTAAGGTTAATAGCTACAGCAATTACACACGTGAGGCAATTTTATAAAGGTTGCCGACACAACAAATGTCATGTAATCGCTATTACAATTTCAGCCTTAATTATTTCATTAAAGTCATTTGAGCTTATTCTTACAGGAATCATAGAACAAATGCACAATCTCATCGAATAACCAGACGCACCAATGACTTGGTATCTACGAGCACAAAGTAGGAATTACCATGATCCCCTCAACTCAGCCGCATTGACCAACTTATAATTCTACGAGTTGAAAGGTGGCAAGCTTAATCACAAAAGCTCAAAAGTAAAAGAACACTGGTTGTAAGTATCAGTACATACGTTTTGCAACAGAAGAGTAGACTCAAGCTTGGGCATGTTAGGTCGGCGCTGAATGGACACATCCGAGGGGGCAGGAGATGGTCGCGTGGTCGACCGCTCCAGTTCGTCCGAAGCCATAGATTGCAGAGGAAGGATGGGATTACTAGCGTTAGCGGCGCTGCTCGAAGCTGTGGGTGAGAAACCACTGGAAGGACTCGAAGAGGAGGGGCAGTGTGGTGATGGTGAGGACGAGAGAGTAGATGATGAGGAGGAAGAAGAAGTTGCTGCGATGGCTGAGGAAGCGGAGGTAGAGACGAAATGAGAGAAGACTGACTGTGAAATCACGTGCTGTTCTTTGCCTAGCTTTGCATTACTAGACTCCCTGGAGCCTTCTTTATCCAAATCGTTCTCAATTTTTAGTTCCGTGGGGTCTTTTGTAAGGGCATTCTGTAAGGTAGTGGACTTGTTTCGAAACCGCGAGGTCGGTGATTCTACACCATTAGTCCTGAGAGGGCTGCTAGTCGCCTACAAAGAAGAAGAGGCGGTTATGTAACTCAGAAGGTAACAGAATCGCATTTTTTATTCATTGTGACTGAAGACTATTTCGAAATTATATCGATTGAATAATCGTTGCCAAAGCCAAGAACCAGTTCCCTTGAAATGCCTGATTTATCCAAACCTTTAGTAAGGGCAAAAAACCGGGTTAAAATAGAATTTGGTATTTAATGCGAATGAGTAAACCACAACATAACTAGATCCTGGTTAGGAATATGGAAATGAGTGAAATAACTGCCCCATGGTGGGAGCAAGGCCTGATTCTAGGAAACTTGGTATTAAAAATGACACCAACTTTCATTTATCACACTATCCTATGTCATAGCACAGTAAAGTGTTGAACTCAAATAAACCAAAATGATAATGTAAATGGTGAAACAAGTAGCACTAAGCATGAAAGAACCGGAAATTCGAGGCAAAACGATTGTGGTAGATTGGGAGTTCGATGAGCCCTGAGTGGTTAAGCAAAGCATCCTTTGTGAAACTACGCTGTGAACCCGAGAACAGCCCAAATACCGAATGAGGAGCACAAGTCCTCGAATCAGCAGATGAAGACAAGTAATTATAAGACAGGAATAAAAACACTAAGGCTTATAATATGCACTGAAAATAAAGCAGTAACTTACAATTGTTGGCGTTGAATTAGGCTCTTCTTTGGTAGTATTGGCAGTCGGCTGAAGTAGAGGCGTTGATGAGTGAGGAATCGAAACGGGAGAAACAGCGGGACTCAAATAGCGCTGTCGATTTCCGACTGATTTTCGAAGACCCGTGCGGGAGTTTAGCCGGGGTGAAAACTCTCCATTCATTTGACGAATGGAGTAATCCTGCAAGGCTTTGGAGAGGAATTCGTTGTTTAGTGCAGTGGGATGGATCCAATAATCAATGTCCATTGCTGACACTGTTGTATTCGGTGGAGGCGTCTGGTCGTGGACGGGGAGAAGGGTTAATAAGCGACGCCTAGAGGTTACAGGCAACGCTTCAAACGTATCCATGTTAATAATTTTCTAAAATAAGCGACGGTGAGAATCGTGAATGGAAGCAACTAACTTTACCCAGAGCGCACAACACAAAAAACTCGACAGAAATCAGCACAACTTCACTCGTCATTGGTTGCAGCCATTTCAAATAAAATTAACCGTGTCAACCTACTTTTAGATTTACTTTGGTAAGCAGAGAATCCCTTCTTTCAAAGTCGATATTGTCTAAGCTTCCAACGAGTTTGCGTTTTCGACCACTACGAACCTGATCCTGCAAAGGCTTTGGCTACAAGAAACTAGATGATACAAAACGACGCACCACCTTCCCTGCCGGGTTCTGTGGTAGGACCGGTGGAAAGTTAGAGTTCTTCGCTGTATCACCGTGTTCTACAACGCTATCTTCGTTTTGATTTTCCTGAGAGACATCCGCCATGAGACTGTCGGACGCCAGCAAACTTCCCATGTCACTACTTTTGTCCAGAGATGATGACGGTCGTAGGAAAATGCGAATTTTTGGTACATATGGAGAATCCTGCGCTGTTTTCGCAGGGATTATCAGTTTAGAGGTAGCGTACATTCGTCAATCAAGAGGGCTTTAGAACAAAAGCATCAAACTCAAGGTTCGAACGATACAATATACCTTAACCAGACATCAGTCGCCACAAAACCGATAAAACCGTAACGACAGCACCAAGGGGGAAATTTTTCAAGTGAGCCTCTACTACAATCCCAGTTACCCATTAAAACAAATGTTAATGAAAAAATTATTGCTGCTATTATTATATAACAAACCGTTTTTGAGCCTCAAATGTGCAAGCGAATCAAGAGTTGCGAGATACCATTTGAATTTTAAGTATATACTTATTTGTCATTTTCATTTGAAGACAAAGAGCCAATGCTCTATCGCTAGCCAAAATCAGTGTTACACATATTTATATAACAAAATTGCAATAGCATTAGAGGTGTTTAAATACAATATAGGTAAATATTGCACCACGTCGATGTAGTAAATCTAAGCAAAAATTGTTTAACTTTGGATTGTTTAATTGCTCGATTATTGGGTTTTCTAAATAAACCATATGATGCTTCCCAACTTTAGGGACAAAAATTGGCTACTCATTTTCTTACTCTACTAGTGCAACATTGTGCGCTATCACTTTAAGTTGTCCTTTACGCTGTCGATCACGCGCAAATGGGGGACGGACCAGGTCTAGCAATCCAGGACGTCAAAACATTGGTATTTGGTTTCGTATTCCAATCTTGGCGTTTCATTAGGACGTTTCCAAGCTTACTCCCCTCACCCCAGAGGTAATCAGCCGACAGGCTACTATGAATATCGGGACGATCGGTCATGTGGCCCATGGCAAAACAACGGTAGTAAGAGCAATTTCCACGGTCCACACAATTCGACATAAGAATGAGCTCATTCGAAACATAACTATAAAGTTGGGCTATGCAAATGCGAAGATCTACAAATGTGATAGTCCTGATTGTCCACCGCCTGGGTGCTATCACTCTTTCGGAAGCGCCAGTCCCGACATTATAGACTGCCCTCGTGAGGATTGCAGGGGAAAACTGCGCTTAATGAGGTGATTATCTCTGTCTAGCTCTTGTATTTTATCAATTGAGCTCTCGATCCGGAAGCTATTCTGAATGATGACAACTGGATCTCCCTACCTTGCAGACATATATCGTTTGTTGACTGCCCTGGTCACGACATTCTTATGGCAACTATGTTGAATGGTGCTGCTGTTATGGATGCTGCAATTCTTCTGATTGCGAGTAACGAACCCTGCCCGCAGCCTCAGACCAGTGAACACTTAGCTGCTGTCGAAATTATGCATCTTGACACTATTCTTATTCTTCAGAATAAGATTGACTTAGTCAAGGAAGCTGCTGCTCGTGACCAGTACGATCAGGTACTTTGTTCCACTTATATATCCATTCTATTGTTCCTTGAAGTGGTTGATGAGAGGCTTCAGGAAGTCAAAGTTGGATAAATCTTTTTCAAAGTTTGGTATCTAGGATTGATATCTAATGGTGGTTAAGGCGTGGGTTGGGAGCATCGCTTGTTTTCATTGTTATGAGTTGCTTTTATTCGGATATCGTCGTGATCGTTGTTATTTTTCATCCTGACTTCATCTCCTCATTTATTGACATTCCAGTTTGTCACACTTTTCGCTTAAAGTTGTTTTGTGCCCCGTGGTTTTTATTAAAAAACTTGGTTGTTTGCTACTTTCATTGTTGGCAGATAGCCACCTTCATCAAGGGAACGGTTGCCGAGAGCGCTCCAATAATCCCGATTTCGGCTCAGCTCAAGTACAACATCGATGTTGTGTGCGACTACATTGTAAACAGCATTCCCATTCCTGTGCGAGACTTCACTTCGGATCCACGTTTAATCGGTATGAATTCAATTAGTTATAGGGCAATTGTAGTGTTACTTAGCATTTACACTCTATTAGTTGCTAGGTCTCCTGACTAGCGATTTTCTGTTATTTGTTTTCCACTCAGCTGGTTCCATCGTTAATCCGTTGTCATTCGTTTTTAAAACTTTTCTAGAATTTGTAGGACCATTAAAGCAATTATTTGTGGTGTCTCTATAAGTGAGAGGTATCCTCGATTAAGACAAGATGGGGGTTAACTGTGGCTTCGCAGTAACGATGTTATTGGTTATTTTGATGTTTCCTTACGTTTCTTGGACGCTCATAATCAACAAATAAGCGGTCATTCTCGTATAACTATCTTGGGAACGGATATTCAAAGAAACCTTTATTTTTCAATCATATTCAAATTTGTTTTCTACCAGTTATTCGATCATTTGATGTGAACAAACCTGGTTGTGAGGTGGACCAGCTGCGTGGAGGAGTCGCCGGCGGCAGTGTTCTGCGTGGTGTTCTCAAGGTTTGTAGCTCGCCTTCTGTTAAATAGTTTTAAATTTCAGTCTGCATTCCTCGCTAAGTTTGCTAATTTAACGAATGGCTCTGTTCTGTCAAACTTTCGACAAATACAGCCAACTAGAACAATGCTATGATTTGAGGAGTTAGCTTGTGCTCGACATTTCTAGTCTAATTAAATAAATCTAAGTGATATCAGGTAGATGCGCCTGAGTACAATTTTTTTCTGGTTGATCTTGTATGAATGTTGTTTGGGTTGAGTTGATTGATAGAGCTTCGACACCATTTCACCGTTGGAGCCCCTAATCTTTTTGATATTTGAAAGCACGTGAACCCCCTAAAGTTCATCCAAATGGCATTGAAAAATGGTACAGAAAAATGCTGGTAGATACGCAGAGTGCTCTAAGCCGATTTTGCGGGCGGAATATTCTCACCTTCAATCAATTGCACTTTGACACCCTATTTCTTAGAAATTATCATCTATTGATCATCGCATGGTTAGCCAACTAGGCTTGTTGTTATCGTTTAGTTTAGGTAGAGCCAAGATTTAATAAATTTCCGCCGTCTTCGTTACCGGCATATTTCGTTAACCTACACATTCTCTCCCTTCACTGTATCAAGACTTTTTTATCCACAAAGTTTCAATACTTTCCAGCGGTACTATATCCGCTCACAGCGAGCAACATCCCATTCTGGATTTTGTCATAAACTTCTAAGGTGTGCAGTGATTACTAACTACATCGAATAAATTCTTGTTTAACATTTCCGATCTATGAATTTGTCAGTGCTACTCGGTTCTTGTGAAAGTTTATTGTTTTCTTTTGGACCTGAAACGTTACCGCCCTCACTTGTTCCTTGCATCTGATGTATAGGTTGGCCAAGAAATTGAGATTCGACCTGGCCTAGTGTCGCAGAAGGACGAGTCGGGTCAAGTGAGCTGCCGTCCTATCCGTTCGTGTATTCTCTCTTTGTTGGCAGAGCAGAATGATCTGGCTTATGCCGTGCCTGGTGGTCTCATTGGCGTAGGGACCAAAATTGATCCGCAGCTCTGCCGCGCCGATCGTCTGGTCGGTCATGTCCTTGGTGCTGTCGGCACATTGCCTGAAATATACGTAGAATTAGAAATCTCCTTCTACCTCCTCCGGCGTCTTCTTGGTGTTCGAACTGAGGGCGATCGAAAGGGCGCCAAAGTGAGATTCTTGCCTCTCTTAGAAAGTCATTTCATTGAGTCAGTTCTCTTGAATTCATGAAAGTGTTTTCAGGTATTCCAGTCCAAATGTCTCATCAATGGACCGGAGATCTGAGAGGTCAGTAGCATAATGTCGGGTCATAAGCTTGGGGGTTGGACCTCAGGTGGAGAAAAGAGCTGCGTTGTTTAAGTGCGCAATAAAGGACGGTGTTATCAAGATATATAGCTCCCTTTTTGCACCCCTTTTGCGCCTCTACACTAGCTTTAAAATTGCACCTATAGTGGTTTACTCTATTCATGCTTCTCCATCTTGTTCACACACCGTTTTTCCTGTTGAAATCATCTTTTGTGGTGGTCATTTAAGTAACAAATTAGCCTCCACTGCGTTCTCTATTCAAGCTACTCCTAAGTAATTGTATCATAATGACGTATCAAGTCTTCATGCCACCAATCTGCAAATACTGCAAAGGGTTATTTTAAGAGCATTCTAACCCAGTCCTGCCTGTTGACCAGATGAGCATTCGAGTGGTTGTCGTAGGTCAGTGCAGTTTTCATAGGTTCTACTTTTTTACTCCATTAATTTGTTCGACATGTTATTGGGCTAGCGAATTCAGTACTCCACCTATTCTTGAAGACTATAAAGTCATAAAAATTTAGGGGTAATCACTGAGGCTTGTGATCGCATGGCTGATGTTTGAGAACACACGCCTTCTGTGCACGTCACTTCTAATCACATTCCTTTGTAGGTTCAAAAACTGACTAAGCGTGAAATGCTCATGGTGAATATTGGCTCTCTCTCCAGTGGTGGTCACGTTGTTGCAGTGAAAGGAGATTTGGCGAAGATTGCGCTCAACACTCCGGTTTGCACTGAAGTCAATGAGAAGGTGGCTCTCAGTCGTCGTGTTGAGAAACACTGGAGGTACGACTACTAGTTTTTTTAAAGTAATGCTTTGTGCCTCCATTATTAAAAAATCTGTCAAATCGGACTGACGCCAATGAGGGTTAACTATTTCTGTGCTTTATGTCGAGAAATTGTTTGATAATAGCGGTCATTTTATGGTGCCGACTCCAAATCGATCCTTGTCATTCATTTTAGGTTGATCGGCTGGGGCAAGATCCGCCGTGGTGTGACAATTACACCCAAGACCTAGAGTAAAAGGGAAGATGAGTCCTCCCTCATGCCCACCTTCAGTTTGATGTTTCTCAGTGCTACATTTTGACAGTCTTCTAAAGCGTTCGACAAGTCTGTTTACTTGTACCTCATTCTTCAATAAACCGGTCACTTTGAAATGTCTCTGCATACTTATATTACTGGGTTTTCAGATCGTCGTAGTCCTAGCAAACGAGAAACAATAGAAGATACTTTATTATTTTTGTCGCTTGTAGGACGCGTCTTCCAAGTGAATATTTTTTGATAAAGATCCTTCCTTAGTGAAACTACGTAGATTTCAGAACTCAAAGCTTGGCAGCGTTGGGCTGAGCTACGACTCCACCACCGGGAATCCGGTTTCACCCGCTGTCCAAGGTTGTACGGATAGGAACGGACAGCTGTGTCAGTCTGTGAGGTCGTGCTGTCTCATTGAGGCCTGGCCACCTACAATCAAAATAGGAGAGCGCGTTATGGTTAAATTTATTACCACCTATACCCTAAACGGGATAATTCATTGGTAAATGGGCCCCTGGGTTTGAGATTAATGGTATGCCTAATCGGACGTGCGTTTTTGCCACTCAATTTGTTTCTGAAGTTGTAATGTAGCGTCCTGAAATGGACGGAAGGCCGGCAAAAGTGATATCACTGGAGCGCTGTGCCACCAGCAGTAAATAGATAGCCTCGCATCGCAACTGTTTCGCACCAAGGGCGGAATACTAGTCTAGTCAGACTGTAAATGGAAATGTTGAATCTAAGTTGTTTTCAAAGTTGCCTTATTTCAAGCTTTTATCTTGCAATTTGAAGTGCAGTGAATTGAAAATGTCAATGTTGTTTGTTGCATGTCTCAGGATATTCGAAAGTTACCTTGAGATTGTATCGTACCCCACTGTGAATGCCTAGATTGCGTTGCAACTATGACTTTGTGTTTAACGATGCTGAGCTTGCTCTTGCATGTGTCAAGTAATGTGCCTAGAAGGCTTTGCAACACTTGTCACCCCAGCAAAAGGGGCTGGAAGACTGGTAAATACGTTAGCCAACTGAATCAAGAAGTCTTAATTTGTCCTTGTGACTGCATACTACCTACGCTTCCCGAGCTAATCCTGCGGTTATCAGATTCGTCAGCCCGAAAGTACAACGAAAGGAAATCTGCAGAATGTGAAAAACTTTCAGTGTGGTTGCATGTCGCCAGCATTGGGATTGTATTATAGGCGAATAATTGTGCGAATAGGCATTATTGTTCTCTAGGCGGATCATGGCTGTCAAAGTGCATCTGCCAATTCATCCAAAAGTTTTAGAGGATAAGTGGAAGAGCCTAGTGTAAGATCTGCATTATGCCTTTTTCAGCGTAAACTATGCACTGGACTAAAATTATCCATGTTGGCTCAAAAGTCGAAATTGGGGCGATGTTGGATTGATCAAATATGGAATGCGGGTGAGAGTGAAACAACCACTACTAGTAGGGAGGGTGTTACCACCATTGCTACTAATGAATTCTGCCATAATCGCGGTTGTACGTCACCCCAAATGGTAATGGCGCCAGGCGCTCCTAATCCTCCTGGTAGTGGTGGTGGTGGTGGTGGTAGCGTTCCATTTGGCTCAAATGGACTTCACCGTACCTGACGCGCAAGCAAGCCAGCACGCCTGCACGCACCCACTGGACAGGAAGGCAACCTGTTGTGGGGAGGCTTGCGGTTATCTACCAGCAGCATCGAGATTGCCTGGCGCCATGGCTATTTGTTGGTTACTGGGTGGAGAGGAAAGGGATGGAATCGGTGAAAAAGTATTAGGCCACAATAACGGAAAACCACTAAAAGCAGAGTTGATATTTTGGCGCCCTGGTCTCTGCCTGAGGCATAATGAAGAAGTAAGTTTTTGGCGATAGTTTTGTTGTTTTCTATCTGACTAATGCAGCAAGAGATATAAAATATCAACAACCTTTCTTGTAGTTGACGGAACACCATCTGAAAACCTTTTCATGTATTTTATCCACTAAAGTTGCCAACTTTTACTTAATATGTTGTCCCCATGGTAGCAATTCGTTTTCAGTATGTATCAAACGTCAACATCTAAACTGTTGGCAACTCATAGTTGTTTAACTTTAACTTAAAGAGATGAATAAGTAGTATTGTCGTTTAGTCCTCCCGTTGGCATTAAAAAGTAGCCTTTGAGCCTCAGCACAAGTGTTACAGGGAACACTCACTCAAGCAGTCCAAAACAGACACGCAAGGGATTATGCTTGCCCTAAAGCTGTAGAACAGGTCTCGGTCAGTCGACTCAGCAATCTCGTCATGCAAGATTGGCTTGCGGTTAACCACAATCAATGTGCGTGTGTTCGCGCACGCAGTGCTTGACGATCACACTTCACCACAACCTTAAAAGGATCATCCTTCTCAACTTTCTTTTACGCTATGCAGACTTGAAAGTTCGTATCTCCAGTCTAGGAATGGATTTTGCTCGCTGGCTTGTTAATGGGTACAGTTCCGAATGATCTCGCACTGCTCCGATCTCATCCGATCAGACGCTATGGGACGTGCATTGTTCATGAGGAAGACTTCTTGCCTTTCCTCAAACGAGGTCATTAGCTTAGACTATTACACATTGTTGGAAAGTATCACGACCTCTCATATTGTCAGTAAATTGACATGAAAGAGACGAAGATTTTGTTGTAAGTTGCTCTGCACTTAATCGTGACTGAATGCATTCATTTAAACTTCCCTTTCAAATAAGCTACTTCACTCCTCGAGATTACAGATGATAACTTCTTACTTGCCATTTCATGTACACCTCCACAAAGCTTTACCCTCGGTAACACTTTGCTTAAAATCTTCAATTTTGCATGCACTTTGCATGAAAAACAAAAATTGTGAACAATATTTAGGCACAAAATGTAGTAGCTCAACTAATAAATTTACCGGAAAAAGCAGCCTTCATGTATGGCTTACTGACAATAGCGCCCAAATAAACTCCAAGGCGGTTAGTCGCTCAGGCGTGGCCGTAGGAGCATGGGAGCTAGGCTTGGCTTTTGTTTAGTGAACCATCAATCAAGAGAAAACCTTCAATCGAATAGGAACATGCAGACAGATGGAGATGTGGGCAAGCCATTAACCCAAGCAGGGTGAGTTTCCACCCTTGTATGATCCAGGCAGACACGGCAATGTCTCGGTTTGGCACATTAAGTCACCCAGTAGGAATGCAGAATTTTAATTGCAAAGGCTTCTGTTCCAAACAAAACCCGTTTGGCCTCTGAGTCATAAGTGAATTTGCCAGGTGCAAAAGCCCGTACAGGCCCATTTTGATGATGACATTTTAAGTAGGAATGACGAGGATTATGCCACTCTATGTGGGAAGGGGGATGAGTGTGTCATCCGCGTGATAAGTGATGAAATTCCGCTCCCTTCATCCCCTTTATGCCCCTCCGCTCCTCCCCTTTTCCTATCGTGCCCGCCATAGCAACCGACCACCATTGCTTGATAGATGTTGGTCCATGGTGTGTGGACGACCTTCTCGAAAGGTTACCTTTCCAACTTGGGTGGACGGTGAATAGGGGTAAGGAGGAGGGTGCGGTGACACTAGAGGTTGGCGACATTTTTAATGCCGAAAAGTTTGATGCACGTCGTGCGGGCAGATGTTTTGATTTGCGGCAGGCCTAGCCTAAGGAACCTTTACACATCCAGCACACCCATAACGCGCACAACCCCATTAACGCGTGGACTGTTTTGGTCTAACATAACGCCTAGTTGTAGGAGCATTTGGAAGCAAAGTGCAGGCGCGGTTTTTTACTTCAGTTGCCAGTGTTAAAGTCAGAAATCTATCGAATTAGGTAAGGTATACCGCAAACAGGTTTTAATGCATCTGATTCATAAATTTTTGTTCACATCCATTTTCCTCGAGTCAATCATTAGGCTTCGCTAAACGGTCAGCAAAACTTCCATTACATATTGCATTGTGAGAAATGACTTTATGCGCAAAGTCATATTGAAAACTGGTATTTATTAAAGTTTCCTTGTTGTTAGTCTCAGTACAGTGATTAGGATTTAGGTATTCCAAACTTAACGTTTAAATTATCTCTCCAACAGAGTCCTTGATAGAAGAGTGTTAAAACGAGGGGAAGGTAAATCACTCTTCTTTGACCATAGATGGGACTGGAGCCAGCCGGATATTGCGAGGTTGGGGACCCATCACGGCTGAACAGGTTTACACGGAAGTGGATAGATAGATGCTTCATCCCACATGTCACTCTCTCAACTTCCGCCTCGGAGAGAGGAGCAACCACAAATTCAAACGCTTGGAAAAGACGTATCCGGTTGGATACACAACTTCCAACGCTTGCTTGGGACATGTCTATAGAGATGTGATTAATGCACACTGAGGGAGCAGGACAAATTTAGTCTAATTCACATACCACTTACTTAGAAACACCAAACACGGGTACGAAAAGAATAAATGCACTAGGAGCTAGCATTAAAAGGGAAGTTGATGATTATTTCGCACAAATTGCTGTCTACAACTGTAAATCACGCAATCCTTCCGTTCGGTTCCATTCGAAATTAGTGCTCTGATTGAGAATACGGATTAAAGAAAGTCCATTTTGGGAGAAAAGCAGCATCTATGCAACTTACTTTTTGTAATACAAAATAATTAAATGAGCTAATATGTAGAGGAGTGGTGGTGACAATCACCGCTGTAGACTAGCAAAACTTGGAGCTCTATCCTCTTAAGGCGCGGTTTAAAAAAGAACCACAGAGTCTATGCATTTATGCGGCACTCTGCAAGGCTCCAAGAGAAGTAGTGGGACAGAAGAGGTGGCGTGACAACGTTCACGTACCCCGATTCTCCTACTTGTCCGGTGTACGTCGCTACACTGTTTCGTAGTTAATAATGCAATGGACTTAAGCACACGCACACACGTTGAATTTAGCCCCCCAGCCTCCATCATCTCTGGTCTTCAGCCAGTGGCCACCTCATATTTAAGTGATTCAGAGTTGTGTGTGTGTTGAATTC